ATTTTTTTGGCTGATTGTTTTTGTGCTACACTGTATTTACAGTATCATATAGTAAAATGAACTGTGTCAAAGAATAGTGTGTATTGGCTTCCCCCGCCTGATGTTTGACAAATGCTGCAGAATCTGCCTAAACTTACATCTCCAATAAGGGCTTTGTTTTTATTGTGAACTTTATCTTCCAACTGATGAGTCAGGAAGTGAAACTGGCTAAACGTGTTACAAATGTGATGATTCTCTTCAGATACATTATGATATTACAGCTTTTTACCACAAACGAGGGTTTAAATATTGTGCATTCCCTGCAACCAATGTTTAATCTGAGTTTTATTGTAGCCGGCTTATTTAATGTCTTATTTCCTTTCTTGTGAATTTTAAAGCAGACTTTTGTTATGATTGTAGGTACAACATTCAGTCAAAGGGGAAGCAGTTTCTCAGCTAATCTGTTCAAATTGCTAATAAATATCAGAATGAGTATTGTAGCAGAATATCCACTCTTTTCTTGTTTCAGGTCCATCTGAATTGCAAACAAAACAAAGAATGAATGAATCAATGACTATCAATGCATCAATCAGTGTAGAAAAATCAACAAACTCAACAATTTAAAGCTAAAACAATATTAGTGCAACATTATTATAAGATTTGCTCTAATCCTCCCTAATCACAACATAAAAAACTGTAGAATTAATATTTGATCATCGGCTGATAATGTTCAGCTGAACTATTATGAAAAGAATAAGGAAAAGCGATAAACTATGGGTAAAAAAGTAAATGAAGGAATGAAGTAATGAAGAGAATCCAAAAAGTGTAACTGCCAAGGAGGAGTATTTATAATAAAAAGAACAATGAATGGAGTAATCAACTGATTGGGAGCAGGTGTAGATAGAAGGATTTAGAAGGGAGCTACAGAGTAAACAAATACAACAGTGCTGAAATATTACTAGAAAATAACTTGGATGTTACGAAATGGAAATGAAACTAACTTAGAAAACACAGAATGACATAGGATACATCAAAGTGCAACTGAAAACCCAAAGTAAAAACATCCGTTTAAACTATAGCCTCGGTTTCTTGGTACCAAGGCCTTTATCATGACAGTTTGTGAATAGACCAAGTAGGTTTCGGTAAAATTAGCTCTTAAGACTAACAAAGGACAACTGCTTTCTTTTCAGAACGATTAATGAAATTTTCTTTTACAAACATGTTTCAAAAATAACTTCCTGAAATAGAAATTTATAACCTTATATATATAGCTGATTTGTAAAGTTCTATCGAATAGCTGGAGGTTTCTTCATATTAAAAGGCAGTTTTGCCTCTCCACTGTTGCTGAATGCATACTTGCTTTGAGGGACTACTGTCAAGCAACGAGTCAATGCAATAAGCCGGTTTTTATTAGATGAGTAAATTATAACCAATCTGACTGTAAGATCTGGCTAAATGTTTTGTTTTGAGATGACAGGTGTTGTGAATTGGTGTTTCAATTCAATAAACTGAACTGAAATTGAATAGTTATTACAGTGACGGATTGAATCACTGAGGTGTTTCAGGCCCCCCACTGTGTCCTGGGTCATCCCCTGTGCTTCCTCCCAGTTGGGCGTACCTGGAACACCTTTTGAGGAAGGCGTTCAGTGGGGATCAGAAACAGCTTTGTGAGCCACCTAAACTGAGCCCTCATGATGTGGAGGAAAAGTGGCTCTATTCTGAGGGTCTTTCACACGGCTCAGCTCTTTACCACATCTCCAAGGCCAGCCACCCTACAGTAGAAGCTAATTTCAGCCACTTTTATCCGCGATCTTGTTCTTTTGGTCATGATACAGATTTTATGGCCATCAAGAACTCGCTCTTCACCACAAATTACATTGAGACCCTGATCCTCCTGTTGATCAACTGTCCCATCCTTTCCTCACCTGTGAACAGGACCCCAAGATTCCAAACTCCTCTACTCCATTCAGGAATTCTGCTCAGACTTGAAAAGGGTACCGGTAAGCCTGGTAGAGGACAATGGAGTTGAGCTTGAAGGAACTGATCTTCATCCTGGCTGCTTTGGGCTTATCTCAACTGCCCCAGCGCATGCTGTGGGTCTTGTCAGGAGAAAGCCAGCAGAACCACATCATCTGCAAGAAGCAGGGACGAATTCCAATGTTCCCCATTGAATGGGGCAATAAGATGAACTAGCAGCTCCATCCAGGCTTTACTTTACCATGTGCCACAAGACTCCGGAGCACTGAATACATGTTATCTCCTGTCCTTTATTTAATCAGTTTAATAAGGGAAATCGGGTTGGGTCAGTAAAGCTGTCACTTATCAGCAAAGCAGATTATTGTCTAAGGCTGTTTTTAGGGGATGGGCACTACCCTATTTTTCAATATTGGCTGCTCCTAATGCCTCACTGTACCTCACCATATGTTTAGGCATATTTATGTCACTACTTGTGTGAATGGTGATTATTAGATATTTTAGCAATACGGTGTAGATCAGGGCTCTGGGTGCCACTGTCCTACAACTTTTGGATTGATCTCTGCTTCAACATGCTTGCCTTTAAGTAGTAAATGACTAGAACTTTGCAAACTTGGTGACATCCAAAATTTTTTTTAATTTTTCCTTTTAATTTTCTTTTGCATTTTTTGTGTTAAATGTTCTCTCCTTTTTGAGTTTTTAAAATTGACATTTATAATTGATTTCTTTTAAACACTGAATTAATCTGACACGTTTTCCTTTCAGACACAACATGAATAAACATCTTAAATCTACAGGAATGTATTCGACAAAGAGAACAGATAAAAGTGACCAATGTTTCTGTCCCTTTCTCAGTAAACTGCCTTCCAGGCAAATGTGTGGCATCCAGTTTCAAACCTATTTATGGCAACAAGACCCTTAAAAGAACAGTTGAATGTGATCATGTGTGCAACATGGTGGAGGCTTTAACTGGCATACAGCTGGTTTAACCTAAAAAAAAAAAAAAAAAACATCTATAAAAGGACAAAGAATGTTGCTCTGAGAAAAGAAAGTTGGGATTAGGCCAAAAAAGGAACTCTGAGTTTCAAGTTAATTATTTCTGAGAAGGACTGTATTGATAACTCCTCTTCAATGCTGACTGATCTGAATCAGAGCCAGAAATGTTAAAGCTGTCTCTTTGTAAAACAGATCAAACCTCAGCCAAATTTCCCCCTTTAAGCTTTTCATTAAAACAACAGACATTTCTGTTTTCGTTTACTAGAAGCAGGCAGTGGTCGAGGAATACCTTCAGGCAGAATGACAAATACAAGTATTTACAATAGGTGTACAAGAGATGCATGGCTGATTTAAAAAATAACCAACAGTGTCCATATTTGCTATTTGGGGTAAACACGTCCATTGTGATTTTCTGCATATGGAAAACAGGTGTCCTTCACAGAAACGCTTTTTTGATCCTTTAGAGAGAAAAAAAAGCTGTTGTAGGAAATATATATAGGTGTTCAGGTTGAAGCATGCTGGCGTTCATGTTTTAATAACAAAGAATCCAGTTGTGGGTAACACCCAATCGTTTTCCTGTTTTTGACGAGTCACTGTGACTGAGGTGGAAAAGGCTTTCCTCCCTCAGAGGTTTAACGTTTCTGAACAAAGCAAAGCTGATGCGTCTGTTTACAACTGCCACAGCTTACATGCAATCATGATGAGGATGGACCTTAATAAATCAGAGACACTAGCTGAGAAAGGATGCTTGAGTTTAAACGTAATGAATATTTTCTCCAAACTGCAGACGATCAGAATTAAACTTGTAATCTTAAAAACATGCGTACACCTTTTGCAAAAATTCAGTTACATTCCTTTAACACGATTGAGTTTGGTTGCCCCCAAAATGCCCGTGGCATAATTCTAGATGGATTTAAAATGCTAGAGTTAATTCAAAGCTTTTAGGTATACGCTATAGATTTTCACTAAGGCTGAGCGCAGGGCCATTAGGCTTCCTGAAGCTTTGTGTTAGTTTGCTTTTTTCCATTCCAAAACCCGTTTTGACTGCTGGTTGGGATGATTTATCTGTTAGAACACCCAACTGTTTAAAACCTTCAACCCTGATAGGAAAGGAAATTGATTTTATCAAGAACAAGAAAAAAGCAACTTCTGGTAAGGAGAACTCAAATGCAGATGTCCCCTTGAAAAGTCTTCCCAGGTCCCTCATACTGTAGCAAGGAAAAATAAGTTTATAATCTCACTTTGGGGAAATTTGTCCTCCATGTTTAACCCGTCCCTTAGGTGCTACCGCACTGAGAAGTCCTCAGGGAGTAACGTTGGGTCAAGGGTCATGCTCAGTGCCCCAGAGTGACAGTTTCTAACTTATGATCTCTGTTGCCTCTCCAGAACACAAACGCCCTGCTCTTTAACCACCGGTCTCCATCCCCACTTCAGATTTATGACCATCACACAATAGTTTGACACCGGATAAGAAGTCTCTCATATTTCTCAAAGAATTGTCTGGAACATTTATAGCCCTTTAGGAACCGCCCAGAAAAAGAAATAGTCTTTAGCAGGTGAACAATTTAAATTTGTACAGTTGAATGTTTAAAAACCATTCATCTTTTTAGATTAAGCTTCTAACGTGTTCCTATATTTTAATTATATTGAAAATGTTAGGATTATAACAAGCCAGTTTGTTAAGATACACTTGATTAATTCAGATGAGTGGTCAAATATTCTCTGGATTCAATGGCTCCTAATTTAGCACATCTAAGGCACAATTAAATGGGAAGGATACATACTTTGAGTCTCTAAGTGTTGGACCAAATCAAATATAAATTTAAAGTTGTGCATTTTTTTAATCACTAATGATATTTAAAGGTATAAACTTGAACAGAAAGGCTTAACTAAATAATAAGGCTCCAAGATAAAAAAGCATTCTTGTGAACGATAAGTTATCCCATAACTTTAGCTTTAAACTGGTTCATTATATGAAAAGAGATAATCTTCTCAAATACAGGGCAGCAGATTAACAACTAAAAAACACCCTCTGATGACAAAATGAATGATCATAATAATTTATTGACAATATACAGTACAGCATTTTGGGTCTATGATTCATTTTCAGACAGCCATGAACATTCACATATGAGGCATCTCGGTAAAACAAACCACAGCTGATACATTCAACTCTAAAAAAAACACAAACCAAAAAATAAAAACATATGACCCGTCCTAATCTCACAGAGCTTTTTTTTTATTTATTTCCTGCTGATGGATGGATGTCTTTGTGTTGCCGCTGCAGAGCAGGGTGAAACCCCACCAGTTGAGCAGAAGCATTTCCGCACACTGAGTGTCAAAGCATCCTAGTTTGTGCAGAAAGGATTCTGTTAGACTGATGAGGGGGCCTGGCTAGAAGTCAAGACTCTACATCTTCAGAAACGATGCTTGATCTGCTCTCTATTTGGTCATGGATTTCACCATTTCCAGCGCCTCCACTGGTTTCCACTGCTGATTGATGGTGACGAGCTGCAACGAAATGTCAAAAACGATGGGGGGGAAGTTTTAAGATATTGTAGACTGTAATTGTAAATATTTGCAGGATTGGCTGTGATGTCACAGAGAGCATTTGGTAGGAGTGATAGTGACTCAGCATTTATAACTAGCAGGATAGAAGGTGGAGCTTGATCAAATGAGGCTATAAAATGAACTAAATGGGTGATAAGAATCGTATACACTAATAAAGTTAAAACACACCTTTTGGGGTTTAGATGGGTCAAGCCTTTCCCAGGGTTCTGGGTTTGAAGTCTTGTTCAAACTGCAGAGCACATTAAAAGCAACAGTTTGTAATTATTCAACTTGATAAAATGTCCTCTAAATAATAATAATAATAAAGACAACTCACATCACATCAGACTTTGTGAACAGAAAGTAGAGGGAAGCAGATGTGGCTCCTGTTGCTGCAAAAGCCATGAATCCCACCAGAGGAATCAACTGAAACAAGAAACATATCAACACATGGTTTTTACTCCTCTCCTATCCTCTCCACCCAAAGCAGAGGAGAAAAACAAACATCTTACCTCCTTCCTCTTCCTCAGCATTTGGAAAAATCCAGACATGTTTTCAAAGTATTCCAAACACCTACAATGAAAATAGTTCAGATTTAATCAGTTTGTTGACGTCCTCAGAGGCAACATCCCAAAGGCAGCAAGGTGCGATGCGATGCGTCTTACCTGCTGCTTCAGAGGTCCTTGACGTCTCTGAGTGCTGCGCAGCAATAAGCAGACAGATGTAGGTCTGAGCGGGAGGGTTTACGAGGTAGAAGGCACGTAGACACATAGTGCTTCCTGTATTGTAATGTACAACTGAAGGGCAAAGCATCTATTTGGTGATGATAACTGCAAGATTTAAGTGTGTGGGGGCCCTCTAGTGGTCAGAGTTTAAAACTAACAACAATGTCATTTAAAAAGTTTATGAGACAAAAATATGAAACATTGAAAGTTTGATTATAAAATAATATTTATTTTACAGCTGAATATTTGTATAAAAATACATCTCTCAAGAGGATAACATCATTGTGGAGATAATAAATATGCACTAATCTGCTGAGCAGTGAGAGAGGGACTCATTTTGCTGATGGACTGCAGGAAATGTGTGTGTCGGATGGATGAAGCTTCCATGTTCTCCTCCAGCAGCGCCAGCAGAGCAGCCTGGAAAAATAAAACATTTCTTTCAAATTTGTTTACTGAAAATGTTTCATTTTGTTTCCCTAAGCTTACTGAATAATTACTTTTGATGAAAGGAAGGCAGCAGATACACGTACCTCCTTACAGAGGTTTTCCAGGTCGGCTCCAGAGTAAAGCTCGGTGCTTGCAGCCAGCTCCTCTAGACGCACGTCTGAATCCACAGGCATGGACTTTGTGCAAACCTTTAGGATGGCGAGTCGAGCCTTAATATAAAAAAACAAAACAGGGAACTATGATGGTAATATTCAATTCCAGATATCCTGTTGCGATAATTCAGGACAGTATAAAGATTTTGTGCCTTTATTTCTTTTTTTATGTTAAAAAAAAAATTCTAACTATAAAACCAAGTATCTACATTTTGAAAAGCACAATCCCCCCCCCCCTTAATTGTGCACATGATGAATAGTGAAGTCCCCCTGATGTCACTGCATAAGGTTCAGTTCAATATGAAAGATCTGGACTATAACTCCTGAGTTCAACGAGCCATGATGGACGTTAACGAGGAGGCGAGTTCAAAGCAAACGCCAACACTGTTAATAATCACATTCAGAGCTTAAACTGGTCTAAGCTGCTCATAATCCTTCAACAATGGATTTTGTTCCACATCTCCCATTTGTAAACGCTACACCATGCAGTTATTGCTTCAGCTTACTATGTGGCCTGCCAGCGGGACTATCAGATACATGCAGCATATGTCAAGGATCTAAAACGTGAAGCAACCCACTCAAAGCAGTAATTATACCAAATTTGTCAAAAAAATAAATAAAATAAACATTAAGCATTTAAGATTAAAAAATATATATATTGTTTTTGTGTGTCAATACGCTCTATCCAGAACTCTTCATGTGGAAAAATGTTAGTTTCACCTGGTTTGATTCTGTAAAAAAGATCTCTTTAAGGAATCGTTGGCTATCCGATTATTAATCAATTAACTGAACAAATAATCGATAGATTAATAAATAAATAATAGTTGGTTGCAGCCCTAAACTGATTTAATCTCTAAAGTAAAGAAATTAATAAGATGCTGTGCTCTATGTGTTACTGATTCTTGCCACAGTGGAAAGTCAAGCTTCAGTTGTGGAGGTTTAGGTAAGTTTGTCTGTTTCCCAAACTTCTTCCATGTGTTTTCAAATGATCCAGGAGGAAATAACAGATGTGTACAAACAAGAATACTGAGATGCTGACAAAAGCCCACAAAAAGTTTAAATGTTTAAACAAAAAACAAGAGGGTTTGGAGCAGGGTGACTGTTTTTTTTAAAGTTATCCAGAGAAAACTCGAACCTGTAGATCAGGGGGTGGGACATAAATGACATGGTCCAGCCTGCCGGGTCTGAGGAGGGCACTGTCTAGAGAGCTGGGTCTGTTGGTGGCAGCTACAACCATCACATCTTTGTTGCAAACCTCCTGACACTCCAGCTGTAAAAAGGATTGAAAAAGGAAACATGTTAGTACAGCAGTTAGACTGCTGATCAGAGGCTGTGATCTAGCTAGCAGGTGACCTCCTCGTCTGTGTGACTCTGCTCCACTCCCTCTGCCTGGAGGATCCTCTCTGTTCCTCTCCTCTCCACAGTCTTCAGGCCGATCCCGTCCATCTCGTTCAGGAGCACTGACAGCAGCCGTGTCTGCACGCTGTTAGGGGCCCCGCCGTCTGAACGCGAGCCGATCAGTGTGTCGATCTCGTCGAGGAACAGAAGGCAGGGAGCACAGGCGCGGGCCTGCTGGAACAGCTGTGTGCACAGACAGAGGTAGGAGTTTGTGGAAGAATAAAACAAGATCACAGTGAGCTATGATTAAAAGAACGAACCTGAGCTAATGCTTTCTCCGAGTCTCCAACGTACGGAGAATACAGGTCGGCACCGCTGACAGAAAGGAAGGCACAGTGGGACGAGGTGGCAGCAGCTTTGACGAGAGTCGTTTTTGCACATCCTGGAGGTCCGTATAAAAGCACGCCACGGGGCCGACGCAGCCCCAGACGGACAAAGGCCTCAGGATGTCTCATGGGCCATTCGATGCTCTGTGGTGGGTGATTTCAAAAGAGGTAAACTCCCTTTGTTCTTAATTTTAGTTTGAGACAAATTCTGTAATGAAACGTGGACTTTTTATTCTATCCTCTATAATTTTAGCTCAACTGCTCGATCAGCTACCTGTCTTAGTTTGGTTTTGACTTCCTCCAGACCCCCGATCTGCTCCCAGAGCACCGGGGAGAGATCCGTCCTGCCCAGGCTACCTCTCAGACAGGAGGGGCCTACCGCCTTCAGGCCTTCCTGGAAGTGTTTCATCTCCACCAACTGCTGCCCTGATCCCTGCAGAACAGGACACAGAATGTAAACATACTGAAAAAGAAACTGGATAAATGCAAAGTATCCATCAGTGATGTAATGTTACTTAAATATGATATTTCTATTGTTTTGTTTAGAAAATAAAACCGATTTCTGTCAGCATTTCTGGTTTAAACTTTTCATCAAGGGAAACACAAGAACAATATTGATATAGCTATATTACAGACTCTGTTTAATAATTTCAACCTGATTTTTAATGTTGTGCTCTAACGCAGAGTGTATTTGTATTTTCTTTTATTGTCTTTTATATACTTATCAGTACTACGATCTCAGCCACTGTTTAGTTAATTCTAAAGTAAATTTTGTGCAAGACTAATAACTATACTTGATTAAATTGAAGAATTGATGTTAGGAATGGATCACTAAAAGTGATAAATTTCATCTAAACAGAAAAGACAAACTATGTCCCATGATTAAATGCCTTCTCAGTTGTCAGTTTTTGTATTTTTGACCTTGTTGTGGTTTTGAAGTCCTGCCCTTTTTTAAAATGAGCTTTGCATGCTTGTGTTTCTGCACAGCTCTCTTCAGGGTTTCACCTCAGAATTTCTACCAGATTGAGATCTGAACATTGACTGGAAAATTCTAATATCCTTGTTCTTTTCATTTCTCATTCTGATTTTTTTAGCTTTGATGCAGTTATTCTGCATCACTGTCTTGTTTTCTTATAGCCCAACCAAGGCCCAGCTTTGGCTCTCTCTTCTTTATTGTTGAGCGGAGATGCAAAACAAATCCTCATCCCTCCACTCCCAGGCCAAGCAGCTGATATGAGGTTGCTAGTAAATATACATTTTTCACTATTACTACTATTCAGTGTTTACTTTTCACCAAACGTGGAACAAATATGGCTGAATACCTCTTGGTCCTGACATCTGAGCTCTAAGATGATTTTATTTAACTCCTCCTTTGAAAATGGCTGAGGGTTGTAAGAGAAGAAGTGTCTACGGAATGTACGAGAAGAAAAGAAAAACGACTAATTCATCTGTCTGAACGGTCAGTTAATTGAGTTCGCTATAAAGTCCACAATATACTCCCCGCTCTATATAGTGATTGAGGGATTTAGGGGTTAGGGCGGATGTTTGAACACAGTAAGCTTTGTGATTGATGAGAACAGCAACTTTTAAACAGAGCATACACAAGGAGAAATGAGCTTGTGCACGCTCTCGCACATATTTAATAGGCATTCGCTCTCAGGAGCAGGTTCAGGGTTGAGCATTTTTTTTTTTTTTTTTTAAGTGGAGAGGGCGGGTCTTTTAAAAAAAAAATTGCAAAACTTCTCCACAATACCTTTAAGTACATCAGGTTCCTTTCATGACTTTGGTTGCAACAGCAGAAGTTTTACTTTAGGAAAACAAAGAAAATGAAAACTGAGCATGCTTAAAACCCCCTTAAAAGTCCAATATTACGCTAAATTCACATCATAAATCTTTTGCAATAGTAAAATGTTTCCTAAAGAACAGCTCATCAGGAGGAGGACTGTCTGCCTAATCTGAGAGGGATTTTCCAGCACAAAAATGCTCTGAGGGACTCATTGTTACCATTTTTTGTCAAATGCAGCATAATATGGAACCTTTAACAGTTCATTTCCAACGGCGACAACTAAAAACATTAATACTAAATCAATGCTCCTTTTCTAGAATCATTAATAAGCTCAGCTGAGAGTTTTATCAAAAGAAACACCGAAGTTGGACTCAGTAAACTGCTGCATTTATCAAAGCTGAGCAAATGATCATCAATGTAAACGCATTATTTATCTTCAACATGGTGGCATCTCATCTACCTTTATGTTCTCTCTCAGAGCGTGCATGGCAGCTTCCCTGCATAGAGCACTCAGATCTGCTCCAACATATCCTGTGGTTATCTGTGCAAGCTCTGCCATGTTGACGGTGGGGCACACAGGCATCCTCTCACACAGAACAGTCAGGATGGCTTTTCTCTGCAGCAGCGTCGGAGCACCAATGATCACCTGCAGAGAAGAAAAAATAAAAAGAGCTCAAAGGTTTGTTGTGGATCTACCAGATAGTTTATAGAATATACCACACAAAATGAAGTGCTGCACCTCTCTGTCAAACCTCCCAGGCCTACGCAGTGCTGGATCCAAGCTGTCGGGTCTGTTGGTGGCTCCAATGATCAGGAAGCGGTCAGAGCGACTCATCCCATCCATCAAGGTGAGAAGCTGAGCCACCAGCCGGTTCTCCGCTGAAGACGAGCCGCTTCTCCTCGGGAACAGAGAGTCCAGCTCATCCAAAAATAAAACACAGGGACCTTCTTCTGCTGCAGAGCG